CACCGCCACTCAAGTTCAGCACTCACTTGTTTACACACACACGTAAGCACACCTAAGCATGCATACACACATGTCCTCCTCAACTTTATAGTGACTCATTGCTTTCTAAGTACGTTTCAGTGAGGATGAGAACCCTAAGAGCATGCTAAAAACATCCTGTTGGTAACTTATGGAAGTTGAAGTTAGGCTTCACCCTTCTCCACAAGGCCAAAGAGACCTTCAGATATCCCACTGATGTTTCAGGCCTGGCAGGAGGTCCCCCAGCAGGGACCGAGGCTGTGCTTCCACGCCCCATCAGAGTGGTCACGCCGCCTACATCCCCACACCTCATCCTAGCATCTGCAGGAGGGAAATTGCGGGGGGAAATTGGTGTTGTTCCACCAGTATCCGACACTGCTTTGGTCCTCGACTATCTAAATGGACCATTACCCCCTCTGTGTGCTCTCACTCTAGGAGATCTGGGTTTGTCAGTGCTCGCTCCCTTACAATCAGGGGTATCTCAGTATATGTCCCTAGAGACAGGCGTCTAAACTGAAGCTATTTCTCACGTCGGTGCATTGTCTGCTTGTCACCTTATTCACTTGGACAAGGGATCAAGTGCTGCTGCTGTCTCACTGAGTGTTTGTGGGCCTGCTTCCATTTTTACATGCAGCATCATTTCTTTCTTGTCACTTTTCAATCTTTTGATTTAAGACATTCAGTCCCTGGTGCAAAGCAATGTAAAGGTTTTGAGGATGTAATAGCCATATCCCAAATGGAACAATTCAGTGTTAAAGTCAGAGCAACATTGTTTTGGGGTACCACGAAACGGTTGTGAATAGTGTAATATCAGCAGACAGTTGTTTGTACCCTTTATTAGTTATTTCTCCGGTTATCACTGCATCTGAAGTCGTTGCATACTTTACAAAATAATCTGTTGGCAAATCTTCTTACAATGACTGGCTTTCATCACAAATAGTGTTGTCAGTGCACACTTTTCATATTCTCTTTTTGAATCTTATTTATTACTTTATTTATTTTGAGCAGGAACTGACAGTGACACTTAAATGCCAGCAGCTCAGGCAGATCTTGTTTTGCCTATTTTTTCTAGATTTCTTGCAGCAAGTACAGGGTTGCGATCAGTATTCAGGCAGACAGTCGTTGACGCCGTGCCAGCATTTGCGTAGCCGGGCAAGTTCCTCCTCTGTTCCTCTCTCTATCTCTGAGGCAGAATTCATGGCAGACTGTCCTCCGAGTGTGACAAGTGGAACTGTGTGATTAATTTGGCCAGTCGTTTTAATGTGCTCCGGGATGCGCAACGCTTATTGTCTTCCCCTTGCACGTCTATCGGAATCTGCCAGAGAAAATGTCCAGGAGAATCGAGACATCCATCCCTCCCTCCCTCTCTCTGTTTTTTCCCTCTTGCTCCTCTCTCCTCAGCCCTGCCTCATTTCAGGGCTGAGCTACAGGGTCGTCATGGGGGCCAGCCCAGGTCGAGGCCCGGCTCCAGCCAAGGCCGCTGGCGGAATAAATCTCCTGTCTCTGAAGTGTTGAAAGCTGTGTAAATGTCAAACGCATCCGTCTGATGTGCTGGCTGAGGGGAGGGAGGGTTGGAGAGGAGGTGGGATGCTGGGAGGGAGGGTTGTGGATGAGCCATCCGCTGAAGCTGGTCCCCCGTTACCCTTCGTAGCTGGCGGTTGCCAGGTGCAGATGTTGCTGCTTGCTCCCTGCCTCTGAAGAGCCAGCCAGTTTTTTTCCTTCCTCTTTTTTCCTTTTTTTGGGGGTTTGTTTGGTTTGTGAACATCTATGAGAGACACAAACCACTAGGGGCTTGGCTCCTGTCAGGCAGCTTAGTGAGCTGCATATCTCTGCGATTTTAACAAAGTCCCCTCTGACCACCAGACGTGCTGTTTAGGGAGGTTTCTGTTTGGGTGTGTGAATTAGCATTTTCACCATTTGGTTTTCTTGCGTAGCCTTGTTTTCTTTTACCCGGTTTAGATATTCGAAGGAGCATAGGCTGCTAAATGACGCGGTCTTCTTCTCACACCCACACACTCACAAACATGACCCAATCTTGTACTTTTATAGGTTCGTCGTATTCTTTTCTTTGACTCAACCAAGTGTAATAGCCCAACAGGGCAATCACATACAGCCCTGACAAAAACTGCTCTAACACTACCTCCATCCGTCCATCCCTTCATCTCTATAGCATCCCCCCTGCCTGTTCCTAGCGTTGTTTTGTTCCCCCTTTCCACCTGCCTATCTCTCCCCTGCTGTGCTGTGTCTCTCTCTGTCTCCGTCTGAGCCGTAGCTAGTATTCCTCTTTACGCTCTGCTGCAGTGCATGCTTCTTGTAAAAGGATAAGCACCATGCTGTGCTCTTTTGATATTATTTTTCCTCCTCGCCAGCTCCAGCCTTGTGAGGCCTCATCTCTAGTGTCATGGCTACTGCTGCAACAACAAGGCCAGGCATGCACCCAGGGAATAGACTGAGCCAGTTGTTCATCTCCATCACCTAGGGTTTAAACTCGTCCCCAGTAATAGAGAGGAACTCACAACCGCTGTGAGATGGAAGTCATCTGTTCAGCTGCATGCTAAGAATACATTTACATCGGTTTCCAGGGGGTAGGACGAAGTTGGAGATCAATTTTCCTTTTTTGTAATGCGTAGATGGATCAAGATGGAGAGAAACATCGTTTTGAATGTGATTCCTTTTAAATAAAATACCACAGTGGTGAGGGAACAAATGGATGGTGATTACAGGTTGTGATGTGCCCCTAACAGAAATGGTCGACAATTATTTTGTCCCGAATCCTTAGTCTGAATGGAGAATTGATTGACAAGAAGCCGAAGCCACTTTCCCTTCTTAATGCCCTGCACTCTGTAATGAAGGTCTTTTGACAAGCAAAAGCACAGAAATTAGGGTTTGCAAACATTCTCCAAGAGAAAAGAGGACATGTTGCATAGAAATGTGGCCAATATTTTCTAATTTTCCATTCCAAGTACATGTGGATATGTACTTTTAAGTTAATACTAAAGACTTTCATTTTATTATTTTATTGTGTCAATGGTCATTAAATGGTACTGGACAAGGAATCAATATTGTTTTATAAATGTAGGCAACAAAGTAATATATTTTGCTGGGCATTTATAATATTATTCTAATATAAATAACAACACTTTCAAACATATTTACACCAGCACAATACAGTTGTCACAGGGACATTTTTTACAGCATTGTGAGGCACGCTTCCTTTGCTTTCACACTTATTCTCTTGATGCTCACTGACATGCTTTGGAAGGATAAACAACAATCACTGCAGCAAGTAAAATGCCTCATATTAAACATCCTTTTACTGTATTTATCCTACAGGTCTATGTTCTTGTTTAGTGTCTTGTGTAAGAATGCTTCAGGATGAACAATCGGAGTTCACGCTGGTTTTTTTTCTACAGATAGAGATGCAAACAATAAACCCTCCCAAGGGGTTGAGCCACAATGTTTTTCCCTTAAAGCTTCTGCCAGCAAGGACTCCTGCTGTATCCCTTGTCAAAGTAGGATGAATCACAGGGCATGGAAGCCCCCCCCCTCCCCCAAACTCTCCTCTCCTGAGAGATCTTGGCCACTGAGCCCTTGCACTGATTACTCTCGTTACTTAATTATACATTTGGACCCACCGCACTCGCAACAAAGGGCCGCTGTGCCTCCATTGACCCAGCTCCCTCCTCATTGTGCCCGGCTCTGAAAGGGAGTCAAACAAAATAAAGAGGGTCCACTTAAATATGTTGCCACAGGAACTTAATTGACAGATTGATGGCAGTTTTTCACTGGGGGCACTCCCCCCTCTCTTTGCGGCTCTCCGCTTGAATTGCTCTGCTCCTCATGTATCCTGCTGTGAGGTCCAGTGGGACTGGCCTCCAGCTCGACCACTCCTGTTTCCACAACTTTACTATCTATTGTCCGGGGGAGAGAGTTACCAGCCAAGAGCATTTAGCGACAACTGAATGTGAGAAACGGAAGCAAGGATCTTGTGGATTGGATTTCAGTTAAGGAAAGTGGTCATGTTTACCATAAAAACGTGTGGTGTATGCACTGAAAAACAATTAGACAGAAAAAAGTAAGCCAGGGTTATTGACTTCACACATTATTTTAGAGTGAAGGTGAATAAAAACTCCCGGAGTTTAATCCCTTTTTTTATTTATTATTTGCTATTTTATTTTATTATGTGCCTGTGAGCATGTCAGGAATGAAAAGCTCTGGCCCTCTGTTTGTCAGTTACAAGGTCTGACGTTTTTCTCTTTATCTATTTTTTTTTTTTTAGGGCTGCATCTCTTCTCAAGATAGTTAAGCCTGATCACTTCATATTTTAATTTAAATTACTCGACTGGTGAAATTTGAAGTGTTGAAGAAAAACCCATTTTACTTCTTGACTGAACAGATGGTATTTTGGCCTTTGGCCCCGGGATAGACAAGGCATATTTCAGAATACCACCTCTCTTGTTATTTAGTTCCTTTATCCCTGTAGAAGTCTGACATACAAATTAAGGACTGGTTTGTCAGAAGGTGGATTTGAAATACCACACTTAATAGGTGCTGTGTTTGAGTATTCAGAGAGCCTAAGCTCTCTCTGTCCTTGAGATACTATCGTCCAATTTTAAAGCACTCTTAAAAGGCTAAATGACAAGCTGCAGCTGAATGCAAAATTATTGAACAGGCTCCTTATAATAGAACCCAGTTTATAGTATTATTCATTTTTTTCATCTTTTGTAAATATACAGCATTGAATTTGCAACAGAAACACCAGAATGGCGTTCTGTGCGGCTATGCTGCTTTTGAAACATGAAAAACTCTCTTAGACTACCACACTCTCCTTTCCCTCTTCATCCTCTGCCGTTTGCACTGAAAGCTGTCAGTGAATGAGAGGTTGCACACAAAAATAACACCTGCACTGATTGTGGGCTACTGGGGGGGAGCCAAATGAATAATTCCTTATATTTCATGTGGCTGTCTCTTTTCTGTTACAGTGTGACAGCGAGAGTGACATTGACGACAAGGTAAGACTGCTTTTCCTGTGTTTATTCACCCACCACATGAAGTGGTTGAGAGTTGTGAATAACAAATTGAAGCTCTCAACTAAAAGAGCGAAAGTCATAGTTTGTTGTTTGCAAAACAAAAAGACGAAGTTTAAAAGACACTGCCACTTGCAAGGAAAATGCAGTACAGGAAGAAGCTGTTTTTCAGTGTCTAGTCTAGATCAGTGGTTCACAACCTTTTTGGTGTCAAGTCCCCACAGATTGATACACATCAGGGACATCCGTATTTGATAAGATGTAGTCTCAGGTGACCCCGTCTGATGAGATTTATTATTCCATAACTGTGTAGTGTAGATTGGAAGATTAATAGTGAAAAGTGTGAAATCTATGGACAGTAATTCTTATACAGTCTCTTATTGGGCTAATATCTTGCCCCCTGGACCTCAGGACCCTGTAGGTCCCCAGACCCCAGGTTGAGAACCACTGGTCTACATCATAGCGTATGCTACATACAATAAGCTTTAGTGTGTGCACATTTAATCTTATCGCATGGCCCACATATCACTTCTATCTGCTTGTTTCTCTAATATACTAGATAGCAATATCAAAGCTCCACTTCGTGCCTCTTATGTAATCATTATAGTTTAACATTTGACAGTTTTGCAATGTTCATTTTCCAGTCACATATAAATACATTCCTTTTTTCTCAAAAATTGAGGTAAGAGTTTGACAGAGAGAATGTGTTTTTTTCTCACAAGGTGCCTTTTTTTTCTTGGTGGTTTATGTACATTTTGAATGTAATCTTAATTCTTCTTAAAAACATTCAAATGTGAAGACATGGAACACAAAAACGAGCTTGCATTATCAGCATCTTCATATGCTTAAAAAAAGCTGCATACTCTTTTAATAGTGACATCATCAAGTTTTAACCATTTGACAATTTGACAGATGTAGTCTATCAGTTTCACTTCTGTGTATTTGTTTATCCCAGACTCTGAGGTGGTTGTCTGATGGCAGCCACCTGGTTACAAGATGAAACGCCTTCGGGGAACCTCACGCATTCTAATTCCTCCACAGTTTAGCAATTACTCCCTGGTAAATGAATGAGATAGCATGCCTAATCTCCTGTAAGCTTAGCTCCCAGTTCTGTGGAAATGTCTGCAGCTCTCCCTATAAATAATACATTGATAGCAGGCCCAATTTGCATTAACTGTAGCCTGGCAAGTCAATAGGCTTTTATCTCTTCATTGAAGCAAGAAGGAACCGAGGGCGCTAGCTAGTTGACACGACAGAGAGACGTTGCAGGCCTGTCAGTCTCCATACGGCTCCCTGGCACCACTGTGGGGGGTATAGAGGGAAGTAAAGTAGGAGGGAAGCTCTCAGAGTGTTTCCTTTTCAGGGTTTTGTTTTCCTTCCTGCTCTATCAGTTACTTGAAACTTGTAACAGTTCTATATAGTGTCACAAATTTTGACATTAAATATATAAAAGTTTGATACTGCGATACTAACAACACTACTGGAAGAAAGACAAGAGAAAAAAAACAAGCAATGCTATGTAGAAACTCAGCGGTGTTGCTGTGTTGTTGGTTAGGTGTCAGCCTCTGTCTGTTCAGTAAAACAGCTCCATATTTGGCGTTTGGCACCACTTATGTCAGCCAGTTTAGGCAGACTGGGATACAGTTCAAGATATGGTGGACTATTATACATTGCTGCCAAGTTTTCAGCTGTCTGATTGTTGAGTTTTGTACCAATTATTACACAGTCCACTGTCAAGAGCCAGCTTCGCTGGTTGAGTCTGTTCTCTTGTCATCAATATTTCCATGAAGTGCGGTTTTAGCTTGTGAAACAAAATTTGTAAATGTATTACTTGTTGACAAAAATGACTGAATGCAATCTATGAAAAAAATTATTATCGAACTCATTAATGTGAGTCCCATAGGCAGACAAATAATACTGCAAATGAATAATTGTTGGCAAGAAAGTTGTAACCAAGGCTGCAGTTTTGTGATCATTTATCTTGGCTTGTGTAAAACTATTGATTCTCACTCCTAGATCCTTTACTTGCTTTTTCGTGTCTGTTCAAGCTTTAGTTTCGGTTCTTAGTTTTCACTCTCAGTTCTAACGTTCTAACTCTTGGTTTTGTGGAGGGTTAGGCTGTTGTTCACATTGTCTTACTAAGTCTTACTTATATGTACATTGAACAATTACAACAACCAAAAACGTGTTCAATGTACATATGGGCATGTCTGTGTTGTTTTAAGACTGACTTGAAAAAATGTGAAACAATCCTTTAAATGCCACTTAAGAAGTAACACATAGGAGCCTGTAAGAGATCTCAAACAGGACTTGTTTTTTATGTGTAATATCACTAACAGAGTCATGAAATATATCCCTGCTCTAGCTAACATTAGCTTGATGCTTGATTTTTTTGTACACAAGAATCATACATACATACATGAACAGTGTGTGTACAATCAGAGCAGTTTAGAAATCCCATCGTCAGACTACATTAAAACTACACTGTGTTATAATATGTAACACCAAAACAGAAATTACTTTAAACTTTTCCTTAAATAGAGCAGTACAGGACCTGTGCCACACCCAACATTGCAACTAGTCACATATAATGTGAATGCTATTTAAAAGCTTATTATCTAAGTAAGAATAATGACTCAAAGTTAGGTATTGGTGTTTTCCATTGATCTAATGATGGCACTGTGGCCAACAGAAAATGTAAATGAATTGACAGCATATTTCAAAACAAGTGTCAGTGTTTTGGAATCTTTCAAAATACACTGTTGATGTACGTGTATTTGCCAAGAGTGCAAGAAGAAAAGAACATCTGGATAAAGGCTAAAGCAGCACTGACCTTTTCATTTCCTCAGAAACACATATTATCATAATCAAGTTGATGACGATTGCGAATCATCCATAGCAAATTGCTGACGAGAGAAGAAGAAGACTGGGGGGAAAAATACTTTGACAGGCCATCACCAAAACCAGGGGAAAAAAACGACGGTGTAAAAATTGGGTTTCATGAGGAGAAAGACAAACACTGTCATTTGTAATTGCCCGCACTCAGGATAACTCGACAGCGATAATTTTCTGCAACGTTTTGCTGAAACAGGTGCCAGCTCCTCCCGTATCTTTCCAATGAAAACAAAGACTCCTTTCACATCAGATTACCAGCCACCTGAACACCCACATTGTCAGGATTTCACAGATTAACTTAATTAGAATATTGCTTCCAGGTGTGCCCCCAGGGTGCAATCAGTTACACTGTATTTGAATAAAACTGACGAGTTGCTGCCACAGCAAAGTCAGTTTAGATTGCTGCACCTTGTGAAGCTTGTTCGTTATCAAAGCAAAGCTTGAGATGGCATGCAGTGATGTGTTTCCAGAACGTGTCAGACTTGAATTCTTCGGAGATTGCCAGGTCACCTCCAGTTCAGCACGAGGCTGCCATGAGGGTGGATCTTTATGTAGATCGGCCCAGCCTTGAAGAAACAAGCAATCAGAATCTGGGTATTGTGTTCTCATTACTGGCATTTCTTCTTGGGAGGCCTGTCGCCAGTTGTCCAAGATTACATGATGTTTGACAATGACAAGTATTCTGTGTTAATTTTAAAGAACTAACAGCCTTGACCTTGAATTGCCTAGCTTATGTCTGCACCCTGGGGGAAAACCCACATAATTAAGGATTCCTCATGGAGAATTACGTTTTTTCTGTCTTTACTGTTATTAAAGCAACACTTGGTGTGTTTGCCGTAGCCATGCTAAATTAGATGCTCACGAAGGAGAAAGCCACATGTTGGGTAAATTGCTTGGCAATACGGGGACTGCTTGTATTCAAGTCTGTTTGAGGCCATTCTATAGAACTGGGAACATCATTCATTCTTTATTCTTGATCCAAATACTTTGAGTCACTTCATGTCTCTGTGTGACTGTCAGTTGGGAAAAAAATGTACTTACATGCCCCAGAACATGTGTTAGCTGTTTAGAGCTTCACCAAAAATGAATGAATCCTTGGGCTTGTGTAATGATGACATCCGTGATAACAAGAGATCACAAGGACAGTATTTGATATGATGGTGAATCAGTGTTACTTAAAATAAATCCTGTTTTTTTTTTTTGGTTGGCTAATTCTGAATGCTCATTAGGGTTAGCTCAATGATTTAACAGAAGGACTTGAGAAATGTTTCAATTATTGCTGTAACATGATGATTTTAGGTAAAATAATTTTCTTTTCTTTATTGGTTTTATAAGAACTTGTCAAGGCTTACAAATGTCATAATCAGTTTCATAACAAGTATTATTTAAAGTGGCCTTTCAACTGCAATAAGTGTGGCAAAAACACTCTCACCCCTCGCTGCTCCACCTGTAATCTATCAGCCAGCCGATCCTGTCAATCTCTGACATGTCTGAGATACTCCACGTCAAGATGGTCATTTTCTGTCATTGGAGAGGCAGAGAAAGAAATAGAGTGGGATTTATCCCTCCTCAGTTTGTTCATGCACTCTCCTGAAGTGTCATCCTATCTCCGTTAGGCCCCACTTTGCCATCCTCGCCAGCTCCTCCAATTTCCTCTGTATTCTTTCTCCTGTGCAAATAATACAGTGGCTGTCTGTCTGTGTACGAAACGTTAGCATGAGCTGCTTATATTCTCTGCAGCCCCTTAACACAGTGGCCTCGTGTCAGGTGCGTTACCACTGCCACCGCCGCATCACCATAGCCACAGCGGAGGACACCCGGGTGGCTAATTCTATTTGGTCCTATTTGCCGAGCAGTCACTCAGCAGAAAGTGTATCTGTCTCCGGGGGAGTCTCCAAGGACCATTACCACATCCTGTCTATGAGCTCTTTTATGGCTGCGGTGTACTCATCTGCCAGGGCAGAGCACAGGCTCTGATTGACACATTAATTCCTCCTCTACCCCCTTATCTTCCTGCTGTGTGCAGAATGAATGCCATATCACCGCACCGGAGCATCTCTACTGGCTTATCAGTAATGGCTCGTCAGCTA